ATCATCAAGTCCTACTCGCGCCAAGTGGAAGGATCCTGTGTCTGTCTGAGGTCCGGAGGATTGGTAAGAGGAAGATGAACATGTAGACGCCTAAAACAATTTGCTAACTTGACTTTCATCATATCAGGAGCCCACACCATGCCAACATAACAGCATGCGAGTGCACAACAACATAAAATGATCTAAGTGGTTCTATGCATAGAGATCACCAACATCGCTCTGATGCAATCCTCGTTTGATGTGATCAGGCACGGAAGCACTGCAGCTTGGCATGTCACAACAGTCCACACGTGAATGGTCGTGACATGCTTTCTGCAGAGTAACTATGAGCAAAAATGAAAGAAAGGTCCAGATATTTTTAGTGTGTTTTGTTTCCTGATGAAAGCGCAGCTTTACTGAGAGGGAAGCTCTATGCTGAGCTAATCTTACCGAGCATTCTGGCAAAGTTGCAGACATAGAGGCTTCAACTTCCTGTGTCGAGTCACCACTGTATGCCCTCTTGTGCGGAAATACGTCCAGAGGCGAAAATTCACATCCTAAATGAAATGAACTTTTCAACTACATGAACCACAAAAACCACATTTTACAAAAATTTCATTTATTGAAGATTTACATAAGCGGAACGGAATATCGCTTTCTCACAAAGTTGGCTTACAGCTAGTCAAGAAAAGTTTTGAGTGACAAATTTTTTGCCCTTTTTTTATTACGTAATTAACCGAATAATGTGTGGTTTTCCTTAGCAGTGCATAACATGTGGATAATGCGTCTATTAAAGAAAGATGAATGCTGTTACGCTGACACACAAAAGAAAAACTAGGGAAATTTGTTCATGTTTGTACAAATAGTCACAGGCTGTGCTCCAAAAAAACAACGGACCGATACGTTGTTGATAAAATGTAGACCTTCCACCTTTGTAGGACACAGAGCTCGCTGGCGTTGATGGCGCTGTAAAAGATTGGACACCTGGCGCAGTCCGAGATAATGTCCGCGAAAGCGATACCTACAATCGCCCATAAAAGATTTGAACTTTTTACTATAAAAAATTTGCAGA